AAGGAACTCAGAAAATGTGAAAGCCAAACTTGGAAGAGGTCACGTAAGAAATGGATAGTCAGAGTGTCAGTGCATGCAAAGTGGTTATGGGGAAGCAGGTCACTAGGAATCTCTTTAGTCTTAGCTGCCATTTTTGTGATCCAAAAGAGGTAGAAGGCAGGTAAGATGTTTAGAAAGATGCGTAAGTTAGTCACAACAAAACTAGTGGAAATTTAGAGAAAAAAAATAGTAGGGAGACATGGGGTAGTACCTAGAGGGTACTACAGATGCATCCATTGTTGATTTCTTTAAAAACTGGGTGATATGAACCTGCTGTGACCTTGCAGGAATCCCATGAATGGAAAGACATCTTAACAGTGAGAACAGACACTAAGAGAGAAAGGGCAGAAGAAAGGATGGGATGTTTGGTGTTCCAACATAGGTCTAAAATAAAGGGGAGAATACCTATCAGGATAGACTAACTGCTATTACAAATAGCCACAACATTTTTTGGGTGGCTTAACTCATTAAGACTTATTTCTCCCTCACATCACAATGCAATGCAGACAGTCACTGAGGAAGCCGCACTTCCCTCCGTCTTTCAGAGCCTTGGAGTTCTACCATGAATGCTCTACGTACGGCCAAACGAGGAAGGAAAGTGCAGGGAAGGTCATGTTCATGGTTTCAGCTTCTGGAGCCAATGCTGTCAGTGGCTTACTAAACTTCTACCCACATCCCATTGGCCAGACTCCATCACATGGTACCTACCTAAGGGCACATTGCGGGAGGACATGTCATTCAGCTGTGTGCCCAGAAGGAAAGGAAATGGGGTTGGTGGAGCCACTGCGCTGCCTCTGCCCCAGATGGGTACAGAGTGTTCTTCAGACGATATCAGGATGAGTATGCTGACTGCCTAAAGCAGTCAAGGACAGGGAAGGGGACAGTTCCCAAAAGGTCAAATGCTAAAATAGGGCATACAATACAATAGGCAGCTGTATTGAACAATACTTGTGTATGTTTGAAATATATTTTGCTTAAAATTGTGGCTCTAAAGAGCTGTAGGTTCATATAATAAAACAACAAAATAGAAAATCATAAAGACATTATAACTGAAAGTAATCTAGATTCATTCATTCATTCATTTGTTCTGTACGGATTTAGCAAATATGTATTGTGTGCATACCATATGCCAGTCACTGTGCTTGTAGTACAAAGATAAAACGAGCAAAATAGACATGATTCCTGACCTCGTTCATCTTACAACCTAGAGGGAATACAGACAACAAAATATGTAACTTCAAGGGAATGTGATTATTTACCCCTATCTCTGATTTTTTTGCAATCACAATAACAAATGACAACTCTCTTAAGTTTACACATGCAAAGAGGAGCAGACATTTTTATCTCCCAAGAGGTCACAATCTTCTGAGTCACATAAACTTCCCTGCTCACTAAAGGAACGTTTTCTTCCAGAAATTTCTGTAGGTTTTTGAGGTGTGAAAGAAAAAAAGAAACAAACATGGGCATACAATTAAAAGCAGAAAAAACATTTTTAGCAAAGCAATGCTATAAAGCAGATGGAGAGGATGAACACTCCTTCTGAACCTCTACCTAGAGGGCCAATTTTAAAGGATGACAGTTTGAGCCAAGGACCTGGTCAGTAAAATCTGGGAGAAAGTATTTCATACAGTGCTAAAGAAGGAATCAAGAGGAAAATAAGAAGGATGATACACCAGATGGCAGCAAAAGAAAAGGTAACACACATATAATTGACTCCTTATCACTCCTCTGCTTACCATTGTCCATATTTATTCCTCAAACCATGAAGTATTCACTTAAAAACAATTCAAAATACTATGGGATACAGGATGTAATCAGCCCCAGGGCTCACACACGGAAATCTATACAGAGTTGCAGACTTTAAATTAGTCTCAGGATAGACAGCAATCACCACCTTAAGACAGAAGCAGTGCCACACTCTGGCCAGGGACAGCCTTGGACACTTCATCTAGGGTTAACTTTTGCCTGGGGCAAAGGGGAGAAAGAACTGGACAGTCATCGTAACAAGTAGGACATGGGACCCTCTCCTCTCTCCCCGCTTCCAACAACAACAACAACAATAATACGTAGCATTGATTGAAAGCTTACTATGTGCCAAGCATACTTGCCTGCATGAACTCACAACAACACAATGAGATAGATACTATTTACCCACAACTTGCATATGAAGAAACTGACCCCTGGAAAAGTTAAGTAACTTACTCAAAGTTATCCAGAGGCAAAATATTGAAATAGAATTCAAACTACACTAGTTGGCTTCTTGAGTCTGCTCTTTTGATGACTGTCTTCTGCCTCTGGTGACACTGTATTTCCTCAATGTGAAAGAAGGCAGGATGGGGTAAGAAATAATAGACAAAATGATTAGCAAACAATATTTTGTAATGCAAATAAAAATTGGGTTTTCTGATATAGATATCTGATCGGCCTATTTCTTACTTTGTTATCCTTCTAATTGCCAAAATGTCAAAAAGAGTAGATGCATTTTCCTCAGTTTACTTTTAGTTCTTTCTTCCCCATATGCCTCAGAGAGTTAATGTGTTCTCTGCCTTCTGTTTCAAAGGGACCATGGGGCGGGGGGCCAGGGAGAGGGGATTCTCGGGGCATTTACTTTCCCTGGTGATTACTAAGGCAGTAAGCCTTTTATCCTGGCAGGGGGAGGGGATGGAGAGGAGATTCAAAACATTGCATATTGATATTTCAAACTTTTGGCACTGTATCTCAAAGCCCTGACAACATTTTATGTTAATGTTGAATGAAGCGAAGTTAAGCAAAGAAGAGCAGCCTGCTTACTCTGTAGTCTGGAGCAGGGCAGAATAGGACAGGTAGGACAGAACACAGCATCCCATGCAAATAATGCTGTAAATGTTTACGCACAGGATTTGACCTTGGGATGGACAGAGGATAAAAAAATTATTCAGTGTCAAGCCCTGAGCTACTTTCACTGAGCTTCTCTCAGACACCAGTAATGAACTCTTCAGATACTCCTCGCAGAGATCCCTGAAGTCCAGTTTATAACCAGGCCAATAACTCACTTTTGATCTCTGAAGCCACTTGTTCGATTCTCTGGACCTCAGGGCCAAAAAGAGTTGTTTATTATTTATAGCAAGTATAAAGAAGGTCATCACAAGCTGTGGTCAGTTCCAAGGATGGCAACTGGTATTCTCATAACTTGCACGTGGGCAATGGCAAAATTTTTAAAAATATTTATGCACATCAGATATATACAGATGGTCATTTTAAAGCCACTTTTTCCATCAATACTTATTAACCATCTAATCTGATAAATCACTGTATTTGGAGGCTGTGGGGTATACAGAGGCCTTCAGAAAGCAAACATGAACTGGAGACTCTGCAATTTGAGAATATTTAAGCAGAATCATCTACAAAAATTTTTTTTTATAATATGTATCAGTCCTCATGTAACCTGGGGCCGATCAGCTAACTCCTCTGGAACACCAGCTTTCTTACCTTATGCAACACGATTTTATTCATTCAACCAACAGTAGAGCCAGGTTAAAGACTGGTCCTGAAATCCCATAGACCCTGGAGAGATTGCTGGCGCTGGTATTTGGGCCTCAGTTTCTCGTTTGTTGCAGTGGGGATGCTAGTGAATCCCCTACAGAGGCAGGGAGATTAAGTCATTTACTTAAACATCAAAACGTAGTGCCTAACAACTTGTAAGTGGTCCATACTTGTTGACTGTTTTCATTTTCGTTACTGCTGATGGAACCCATTCTATACCAGTACTGTTAAAAAGGTCCAGAATACAAAATTATGTAGAACACAAGTCAATCCTGAAGGCATTCACTTTGTAAAGAGGAAGAAAGTCAACAGAGATGTGTAATAAAATGGGATGAGAGCACTAAGAGTACCAGCTGCCAAGGGGGCACAAAGAAGCAGCACCCAGTTTTCCCTGGGTAAAGAGAGTAGGCTCCACCGAGAAGCTGCTGGCGCCCAGCCTTCAAAGTAGAACTGGATGCCTAAGAACTCGTCAGGACTTAACGTTATAAGCTTTTTAAACTGTTGATCTAAAATTTCACATGTGTTGAAAGTCATCTTTCAGCATCCCACAACCAGAGCACATTCATTAACTTTCCAACCAGGAATGCAATCAATAATTACTGCTGGACACCCTTCTCCCACGAAACCAAACAGAAATCCCTTAGCAATGGCACTTCTGGGGGTTGGAAAACAAGATTATGTCCCACTGTCGACATTCGTGATGCGCCCCCTTCACAGACGGACCACTGGAGGCCAAACTCAGGCCCAGCCAGGGAGGGGGTTGGTCAAGGCTGCGACTTTTTATTCGTGTTTGACACCGCGCTCCTTGTAAACCGGGCGCCAGTGCTGGGTCAGCAGCTTCACACAGGTCAAAGGAGACGAACCGAACACCGCAGGCACAATTTCGAAGGGATCGGTGCCCGGCAGGAAAAAGTCTGTGCGCCGAGGTCCAACCAGCCCAGGGGCCCTCAGGAACCCAGGCTCAGGAGTCCTCAGCAGGGCCCCGGGTGCCCGCCTCTGACAACGTCGTTCCCCGCCCCGGGCCGCGCAAAAGGTTCGGGGGTGCACTGGGGATTTTTCTCCACTCTCAGGCTCAGCTTCGTCGCTGGAGTCTGTTCTCCCGGAACACAGAACGCGGGCGGACGGCCCGCCCAGTCACGATCGGTAGGCGAAGCTGCTGGGTGGAAGCGGGCCGAGCCGCCGTACGGAAGCGCCCCGCCCCTCGCGCGCTCCCGGCCGGCGCTCGCACCTAGCTCCCGGGGGCGGCGCGCGCTCCGGTGTGCGGGGGTCAGGGCGGGGCGGGGCGGGGCGGACTGGAGACCCGCCCCTTCTCCCCTCCCCCTCCGGCGGAGATTGACGAGCCCTGGGCATCCGCCCCAACCAATGAGCGCGTCCGGGGGCGGGCCCTGGAGCCAGCTGCTTTGGCTACTTAGAGTCGTCGGCTGGGCTGTAGGAAACCAGAACGGAGTCGGGACTGCCCAGGTGGAGCGGGCGCCCCTGCCAACGCGGACCGGCAGGCGCACGGGCATCGCGGCGAGGACCGCACCGCACGGATCCGCGCGGGGCAGAGCCGAGCCGCAGCCCCACGCGCCGCCCAGGACACGCTCGTCACCACCACCTCCGCAGCACCCATGGGGACCAGGAGACTTTAAAGGAGTTTGGGGTTTCGGGAGCAGGGAAATCACGGGTACGAAGAGGCAGCTTTCTTTGCCTTGGAAACGTGTTTTCTTCGTCCGATTGTTTGGACCCTGTGCCGGGTAGGAGGGAGAGGGGACTTCTGGCTGAAAGTGGGCCTCGCCACACAACCCGCACCCACACCGGCACACACACACACACCGCACTGGCTTCCCCCACCCTCCCCTTGCCTCTTTGTTAGGTTATTTTAGACAGAGCAGCCTCGCCCTGGCGCAGCCAGATTGGCTCTGCTGGGGAGAAGGCGAGAGAACTAAGGGGCAGAGTGCACCTGCCTGTGCGGGCAAGTGTGCCCGGGTGCGTGGGTGTACGTGCACTGGCGAGCGTGCCAGCGTGGGGTTGGAATAGTGTCCGAAGGTGGGGGTCTGAGTGTGTCGTCGCGAAGGTTTGTCATTGTACGTGACATCAGCACACCGGTGTAGCAGCCTGTCAGTGTCTGGACTCCAAGTGTGCAAAACTGTGCTGGTGTCAGGTGGGTGCCCGTGAACGTGTCCGATGGTCATTGCGCGAGGCGCTGTCCGGGAGGAGCACGGACCTAGGGTAAAACTGAGAGGTGGGCTGGGGAGGGGGGCGGCTGAAAATGTGAGCGCAGCGCGCTCCAAGCTCTGGGGCCCGAGGCGCTCCTCCTTTCCTCCAACCCACCCCTCCGTCCCTTCCTGGGTGTCCCGACTCCTACGCTGCCACACCCCGCGCTGTCCTTCCCACTGGGACCCCGTACGCCCTCCCGCGCTCCAGCCTCTTCTCTTGTGGGCGTTGGGCCGGATTCCGGTACAAGGTCCGAGGCTGCGTGGTGGCGTCCGCTCTCGCCCGCCGGACTGCTGGCTCCCGTGCCGGTCCCGGCCCCGGGGAGGCGGTTGACTCCAGTACAGGCGCGCGGGCGGCCAGGCCCCAGGGGCACGGCTCATCCTGGGGAGGGCAGCGCGACTCTGATCGTGTCTCTGCGTCTCCTCTGTGCTTCCGCAGATCCCCGCTTCTGGCCCCGGCCTCGCCGCGTCATTGATGGGCAACCAACTGGACCGCATCACCCACCTTAGCTACAGCGAGTTGCCCACCGGGGACCCGTCGGGGATCGAGAAGGACGAGCTGCGGGTCGGGGTCGCCTACTTCTTCTCGGATGAGGAGGAGGACCTGGACGAACGAGGCCAGCCCGACAAGTTTGGCGTGAAGGCCTCCCCGGGCCGCGCTCCCTGCCCGGAGAGCCCTAGCCGTCGCCGCCACCACCACCTGCTGCACCAGCTGGTCCTCAACGAAACTCAGTTCTCCGCCTTTCGGGGCCAGGAATGCATCTTTTCCAAAATGAGCGGCGGCCCTCAGGGCGCCGACCTGAGCGTCTACGCGGTCACGGCGCTGCCCGCGCTCTGCGAGCCCGGCGACCTGCTGGAGCTGCTGTGCCTGCAGCCCGCGCCAGAGCCGCCCGCGCCCGCCCCGCACTGGGCCGTCTACGTGGGCGGCGGGCAGATCATCCACCTGCACCAAGGCGAGATCCGCCAGGACAGCCTGTACGAGGCGGGCGCGGCCAACGTGGGCCGGGTGGTGAATAGCTGGTACCGCTACCGCCCGCTGGTGGCCGAGCTGGTGGTGCAGAACGCCTGCGGCCACCTGGGCCTCAAGAGCGAGGAGATCTGCTGGACGAACTCGGAGAGCTTCGCCGCTTGGTGCCGCTTCGGCAAGCGGGAGTTCAAGGCGGGAGGGGAGGTGCCGGCCGGCACGCAGACCCCGCAGCAGCAGTACTATCTCAAGGTGCACCTGGGTGAGAACAAGGTGCACACGGCCAGGTTTCACAGCCTGGAAGACCTCATCCGCGAGAAGCGCCGCATCGACGCCAGCGGCCGCCTGCGTGTGCTCCAGGAGCTCGCCGACCTTGTGGACGACAAGGAGTAGCCTGGGGGTCGCCGCCCGCCCCTCCAGGCTCCCCGCGCCCCGCTCCCTCCCCCGCACGCGGGCTCCCAGGCCGGCGATTCAGCACCCCCCGACCCCCTTGAGTGGCCACCCGCAGCGGCCAGCGCCCGGGCTGCAGCCTCGCATCATTCTGGCAAGTGGCAGGTAGTCCCAGGAACTGGCCCCGGGCCTGAAGGGGCCGCGCCCGCCCGGCTGAGACCCCCAGTGGTGATGATGGTGTTGGGAGGCCCAGCGTGCGCTCGCCCCTTGAGTTGTAAGTGGGGAGAGGAGAACGGGCCGAGGGAAGCAGGGACAAGGCCTCCCCCCAAGAGTCACTGGTCTAGTGACTAGCACCCGACCTACTAGAAAGGGACCATCGCCGCCCCAAACGTGCACACACAGACCGGTGGGAGGTGAGAATTGATCCTTTCAGGGCACAGCTCAGCTCTAGTATGGATGTGTCCCCAGACTGCAGGATTTCCAAGAAATCGAGCCTGTCCCTCATGCACTTGTGAATAATTCCACGAGGGAGCAAGCACTTCGGGACTCCGGGTTATCCCGAGGCTGCCCGGGACTTTTTCAGCTCTCCAGTCCCTGATCTGCTGACATTGTATCCCAGGCTCCGGGCTAAGCAAGACAGTGTTTGTTTTGCTTCCCGTTCTTTCCACCTAGGGAAGCGAACGCCACTCCCCACCGGCATTTGCCTGTGAGTCCCCCTTGCTGGCAGAAGCGATGCCTTCCCGGTCCCCGAAGGATAATGGCGCAGCGAATTTGATGAGGAGAGCCGCCGGCCCCGCCCCCCTGGCCAGGAGAAGGCTCACCCGGTGTCCGCGAACTTGAATCTGTGAAAAGGGCGCTTGCTCTCAACCCTAGATGGCTCCCTCCTTGGGCTGCGTTTCAAAAATAACCACAGTTTTAAAGGGGTTGGAGGAGACGGAGGGGAAAGACATGGCAACATTCCAGAAACCAGCATTATTACAGCACCATAGCCAGTGTATTTAGTTTGGCTTTTCCTAACACAGAAATCTCAGAAGGTGGGGAAGTGGAAATAAAGTCTTAAAATCGAGAAAGCAATTGTCCAAATATGTCAACAAAGCCTATCGTGTTGATGTTTTTTTATTGACCATTTTAGCAACATGCTAATAAAATTTCAAATTGAAATTTTTATTTTCATGGCTTTAATCCATGATAGTTTAAATACTGGGGGCCATTAAGAGTGGATTTAGCTAAGAGCTTAGCTAACATTGCCTTTTCACTCTATTTTTCTCAAACCTTATGAGAATTCTGTTTTTGAATATCGTAGTTAATTTTTTGGCTTTAACGGCAGCCCTAGTAATGGTGGAGTTGTTAATCCGTGCGTATATTGTGCTGAATCTCCGTCAGTTAAGGGGTTTACTGCTTTGGTGGAAATTGCTAGCGGGTTCCATGATGTTAATTTCTCGATGTTGTATACCACTACCATTCCACATTTGCATTTCTATTTTTCTTCCTCTCCCCCTGATCTTCTTTAAAAAAACGAATGTAGAATTTGTGGCTTTTTCCCCCTTCTCTTTAGCCAGTCCCACAGTTCATTCCTGAAAACCGGAAGGAACTTCTAGGATCAGGTCGATCGTACGGTTTTCAAAAAATTAAGGCTGTTTGAAACCCCTTCCTTGGGTAAGGACTTACCAACTTCTCTCTTGTGCAGCAGCCCCAGCCTGATTAACTGTTACTTGATTCAGTGGGTGTCAGACACACCTCCAGCATCTACGTCCGTCCCTTGCAGGGGAATTTGTCAAATAACGGTGTTTAGCTAATGGTTGCAAGCAGTCGCCTACTGACAGTTGTGATTTAGATGGACAGCAAATATTATGGCCAAAGCCAGTTTCTTGGCATTTCAAAAATAATGCAATAAAAACTAGTCGAGGTTAGCTGCGACTGGGAATGTCTTTCTTTTGTTTGTTTTCATGGTTAAATGATTCATCTCTGTTTTGTTCTTTGGTTTTCAGCCTGGATTCATTCCCTGATCTTGACTCAAAAGGTCAGCTCAATGAACTATGAACTAGAGTATTTTTCTTAAGCCTATTGAGTGATTTATTTTTTAAAAAATGTTTAAATGCCTACGCTTTTCTTTCAGCACATACAACAGCAAAACTTTTGTAATAACGAACTTAACATTTGCATGTATGGAGAACTGGAAATCATTTATTTCCCTAACTTATTCCCCTTTCAAATAACAGATGTCGGATCCTAAACCGAAATTCTTTATTGTATCTACACAGCCCACATTCTTTACTGTGTCCTCCTACTGTATCTTGGCTCTCTGCTGTATTAAATACCATCCCAAGCATTTGTTCGAACAGGACTCCTTCTTGACATTTTGTCTTCTACCTGTCACTCAGAGGGTGGGACTTTAGCAAAAGAAATGAATGGTCTCTCACACCTGAGATTTATTTCCTCTGATGGCACATAATCTGATTTTGCTCTTACTAAGAGGGCCACTATAACAGAGGCTTAGCTTGATACTTGCTGAGACTAGATTAGCAATAAAAATAAGAGTTTGGCAGCCAAAGCAGCACTCATGACTATATTGGTCTATTAAGGATTGGGTTGATGATGATAGTTCTCCAAATTCACAATAGAAAAACACTAGTTACAAAGGGAACTTGAAAGGTCTGTACATTCCTTATATTACTCCTGAAATATTTGTTATCTGTGCTGAAAATAATTGCAAAAGAAGACACAAGATGAAGTGGAGAGGTTATGAGATGATAATTTATAAAATCTCTGATTTCATAACTCATAGGTTGTATGTTTACCTCATTTGAACTGGCAATATAAGAGATTTAAGCATTTGAATATGTTAGGGAAAAGGGAAAATAGTCTCCTCAATGTTAATAATAACCAGTGGCAGAATAATTCTAATTGTAGTACAGCATGAAGAGGCTATTATCAAGATATTGTCTAATAGTTTTATGCTGGAAAACGTGTCTATTTTTAGGACGTTCTCAATGGGAATGACGGCAAGAAGGTGGAAGATCTCTTGGAAGATGGTACCAGTAGACTTGATATTTATTATGAGCAGATATAATATCTCTGGATGTTATCAGAGTTATAGAAACTAAGCCAAAAGCCTCCTGATGTTTTAATAGAAGTCAGGGATTTAGTCTGGGTTTTGGTTATCCTCAAGAGAACAGAGCTTCATAGTAACTTTTCATGATGTTGAGTGTGGCCTAGCTGGTGGTGGGTCCCGTCAGTGATGTGGTGCAGAAGAAAACTATCCATAGACCCCCATCCTTTCTCACTTTCAGAAGGTGATTCTGAAAAGCAAACTACTAAAAAAAGGTGAATATTTTTAGTTCAAGGAGTGCTTTGCTACACATTTGGTAATTAAGAAAAAAAAAAAAAGGAGGTGGAATGGGGAGAAGGGAGGTTAGGCTTAAACTGGTTTAAACAAAACCAGTCCTGAAACACTGTTACTCTCAAAGTATATCTTTGTATATAAAAAAAAAATTCTGTAGAATTTACATGTATTGCATTTCTTTTTTTAAAAAATTAAAAGTATATTAATGAGCCAAATAGATAGAAAGTTCCTCAGTATTTAAAAATTTAAATGCCTGTCATGACTGTATTTTATTAAACAAAGCAGTACCATCAAGTCACCGAAAGTATAAAACACTTGTGCCAGGTTAGAACATCAAACACAGAAGCAGCTGTAAGTTCAGTGATGTTACCTGATTTTACTAGACTTTCAGAATTTTGATGTTTATCTTCCTCTTTGTGTCACGTTTCTGTGGTGAACACTTCTGTTTGAATAATATTTTCTTTTCCAGAAAAGCATGCTATTGGTGTTTACAAAAGAATTACCTGAGTGATCCGTTTATCCTAACAGTTTTCAAACATTACCTTATTGATTATGTTGTGCGTGTGCTTTCAACACCCCTAAGAATTCAGTGTCTTTGGCATCTAATAAATGGAGCAGGGTCAAATTTCAGTGAAATTAATACTAACCGTACAAACATAACAGACCTACCTGATTTACTTTTATCTACATGTCTATTTTTAAATCATTCTGCTTTCTCGTTTTTAGACAAATGAAGAGAATCTAGTTAGGTGGGCCTTTCAGAGATGATTTGCCACGTGCATAAAGGGTCTGCAACCGAAAAGCACAGGCTTCCAGATTTCTGGAAACATTAAGGACACTGTGTTTAAAAAATGGTTGTCTGAGATCCAACTCGATATTTTTGCTGACAGTCACTAGCTATTAGCAGAATATATATATGTGTGTGTATGTGTGTTTATATACACACACATTTATAATCCTTATACATGTGTATGTACACATACATACGTATAATAATTTACACAGGTCATATATGCAAATGTGCATGTGTACACACATATATAAATACATTTCTACCTATAGCTAATAATTGTGATTTCATTCAGACATACAGATATATGTACACACATACATGCAAACTATTTAAAAATAAAATGGAGAGTGACTTGAGATCTACAAAAACAGGAGGAAACATTCTAGGGTTCAAAATAGCTAATGAGTAACTGGGACACCAAGGCAGCTCTGCCTAAAACGAAGCATAAACAAAGAGAAGAAAATGTGGGAGTTGCAGTTAGTTTTAGTCTCACTTTTAGAAGACTATGTTCCTTGTTTCTCTAAAATCGACAAAAGATTCAAAGGAAAGCTGTAAAGATTAGAAAATAATTGCAAAAGAAGACACAAGATGAAGTGGAGAGGTTATGAGATGATAAAATAAGCTAATAAGCTTTTCAACAGGGGATAACTGTTCTCCATTCGAACTGAAGACAGAAAAGCTAAGATCTTATTTTCCAACCATTTCATAATTTATAAAATCTCTGATTTCATAACTCATAGGTTGTATGTTTACCTCATTTGAACTTGCAATATAAGAGATTTAAGCATCTGAATACGTTAGGGAAAAGGAAAAATAGTCTCCTCTGCCCTTACTGGAGGTGAGTTTTGTGATTATTGCATTCATTGGCAGCACCCAGATGAACAGTTCCCCATACTGTGGGCTTGGCACATAGTAGGTGCTCAATAAACATAAGACTGTGGCATTTCTCTACTTTACACGGTTTTCAGTGATACTTGATCACTAGGAAAACCAGAAATCCCACCACCTGGCTTGTCTGTAAGGGAAACTTAAATTTCTTTCACAGAAATTGGAGGGGTTTCCCACCTCGGAAGGCTCACAGAAATATAATTTATGAAGCTTAAGGCTGATTTCAGTTAAAGGGTATTCTGCATGTTCTGTTTGCTTCTAGGGAAAACAAAAAAACAAAAAAATGACTATCAAAGAATAGAAAGAGAAAATGTTCTCTTATCGTTTTCTTGGAAAGGGGAAAGTGAAATAATAATTCTGACAAAAACTTCCACAACTTCATCTCTCATTTATCTCAAGGAGAGATTTTTCTCGCATGAAATCACAAGATTATTCCTTCAGAAGGAAGCTTATTATTGAAGCTCTTGCTAAAAATCTTCAGATGTGCAGGGGGAAACCTACTAGATTGTTACCTTAACTCTCTGGGAAAAAATTAGATTTGAAGGAATTTGGTCATGGGTATTTTTCTAAATAAACATTACTCATATATTAACATTTCCAAATAATTGCTATGCCCATTGGCTTTTATAATCCAATTATTATTTTTTTAATGTGAACATGAGTTCTGAGCTTAATTTGGTTCAAAGGGGAGAGGCTTGTAAAATATTAGGTGTGGATAGAGCCAATGACTTAAATTTTAAGCATAAAATAAATGCTTCAGAAGTTAATTTCAGCTATAATACATTCAGTGTTCCAAAAAATAGGAAAGATCATATAAGATCTTACTGCTCGTATGCTTCCTAAGGAAATTCTTGCCATCAATCTGTGAAATAGACATTAATGTTCTACTCGGGCCACAATGGTAAACTTGAGGGCTTCTTTATTAGAAATATACTGATATTTGCTTTAACAAAGAAGTTATTCTAAAATTCAATCACTTTTCCCTCCAGCAGTCCCACAAGGCGCCAGCTCTTTACTCAGTGCCAAGCCCATTGTTTTCAGGTATCAGATTCTCCCGGGGAATGAGCAGATCTGGCAGCGATTTTGTAAAGCATCTCCCAGCTTCTAACAGCACACACTTTAGTGCTTCTCTGCAGA